CACTCTGTCTGCTAACAAGATAAAAAAAAAAAAAAGGAAGATAAGGGGATTTCCAGTTAAAAAAAAAAAAGCCAGGTGCGGTGGCTCACGCCTGTAATCCTAGCACTCTGGGAGGCCGAGGAGGGCAGATCATTTGAGCTCAGGAGTTCAAGACCAGCCTGAGCAAATTCGAGAACCCGTTTCTACTAAAAAAAAATAGAAAGAAATTAGCTGGACTACCAAAAATATACAGAAAAAATTAGCCGGGCATGGTGGCATATGCCTGTAGTCCCAGCTACTCGGGAGGCTGAGGCAGGAGGATTGCTTGAGCCCAGGAGTTTGAGGTTGCTGTGAGCGAGGCTGATGCCACAGCACTCTAGCCCAGATGACAGAGTTAGACTCTGTCTCAAAAAAAAAAAAAAAAAATTATGTCCAATTCCAAAGGTCTCTTCCATCGGCTTTATTCACTTGTTTGAAAAAGAAAACAGCCTGCTTAGACACACACCTCGAAGTCTCTGCGGAGCAGCCTCACCCAAAAGAAAGTTCCCAGTTTCCCCGGGTCTCGGTGTCCTGCCGCCCATCCCCCAAACGCGGCATACTCTGCGTGCAGTAGTGTGGAAACGCCTATGAAAACGTCTATGCAGTATGAGCTCACAGGTGACCTGAAACCGAACGTAGAGAAGAAAAGGCTAACGGAAACGAACGCCAATGATTGCCCGGGACTAGAGAGTATTTGGAGAGATTTTGTTTTCTTTCTAATGTTTTCTGTGTTTCCAGTTTCTATAATGAGCTATACATTATTTTTGTCATGGAAGTTAAATCAAATAACATTGCGGAAGGAAAACGTCCTTGTCGATAGTTCCCTGGACCGCAGCTGCAATTCCCCTCGCGGCGCCACCGGTGCTTCCTTGGGACGGCGCGCGGCGCCCTGGCGGTTCCAGGCCTAGTCGTTCTGAGTGTGGCTCTGGGCCAGTTGCAGGCTGCGCCCCAGAACGGCGGCTTCATTCACCCGTCCCTCCTCCGCCCTGGCCCCTCGTCAGCCCACCGTCACCCTGTCGAACCGAGGCGACACCGCTCCTCTCGCCGTCGCCGCCCTCCAGGCGGCCCGCCACGCCACGCGGCCCGGGACGGCCCTCCCGCGGAGCGAGGGGTCGGCGCCGGCTCGTGCCTCGCTCCCTTCCGCCCCTGCGCCTCCTCTTCCCGGCGGCAGCGCAGGACGCAGCGCCCGGCCCTGCCTGGCGGAAGGGGAAGGAGGCGGCGAGTCGGGCAGGGGCGGGGGCAGCTCGGGCTCTGTCCGACCCTCGCGGAGGGACGGCATCAAGCAGGCAACGACGGGCTCCGCCCTGCCCTGCCACCATCCACCTGTCCCCAGTGGGGCCGAGCTCAGGGCAGGGCACGCCTAGTACCACCCTCAGTCAGGGCACTACTGGAAGAGAAGGCCCTGCCTGGCGCGCCGAGTCCTGCCCGGAGCATGCAGCCACCCGGCCTTCCCAGCCCTGTGTGGCGGCCAGGGCGGCCACGGTGACCCTGCCACCCGGCGTCCACCTCTGGGACCCTCCTCCGGATGGCTCAGGCCTCCAAACCGCCCATGTTTGGCATCTCTGCTCCCTGGGTTCGTCGCACAAACTGTGCCTCAGCTAAGTGAACGAATTAGCATTGCTCTTATCTTAGTGCCGTTTTTGTTCATCACACTTTTCCATATTTACTTTCTATCTGAGCCTGGATCTTCCTAACTCAGAAGTTGACAGGACCAGAACTTTGGCACCCTTGAGTTGCCGTGGGTTAAGGAGCGAATGGGGTGAAGCCCCACAGCTGTGGGCAGGGCAGCCTCCTTCCCATTCTACAGATGTGTGGGGCCCACGATGAAACCGTGATTCGGAATGCAGCCTAGGTCTGCACAGAACAGCCATCTCAGGAGACGTGCCAAACCCCACCCCCGGCACAGGGCTGCCAGCAGTGTGGGTGAAGCCTGCTCGGCCCTAACCTCTCTGAGCCTACTCTGCGACCATAAAACAGGATGCTATTAACCCTCTCTGCAACGCTGAGAGATGGACGGAGGCACACTGCCATGAGCATATGTGGAGTTCCTTGCTTAGGCAGGTGCTCAGTGAGGTCAGGCCCCACCTGCCCACCCATGCACCGCCTTATGCAAAATTAAAGAATCCCCCTAGGTGCATGCAGCCCTGAATAGCCATGTCTTAAGAGAGATCACAGGCTGGATTTCTCTACTACATGCCCCTTAGCCTGGAAACTTGAGCACGTGAAATTCTAGACAACTGTAGGCAGCAGCCCCATGCCCACCTGCCTTCATTCATTTCTATGATTGGCTGTCAAATCCGGGAATACTAAGAAATAAGCCCTCTGGTCTTCTATCCCTGTGGCAATGGTGACCCGTTCACCCCTGGGGGCATCTTACCTGCCTCCCAAGAAGCTAGAAGCAGAGAGGCAGCACTGGAGGCAAATGTGTAGCCAAGGGCTGTGGGGCTGGTTCATGTTGCAGAGCTGAGCAGCTGCTGCGCGACTGTGGGGCTGGGGACCCTACTTATTATGGAGCAGGCTTGACGTCACGGAGGCTGGGGCCCCTCAGACTAAACCTTAAACAAGATGGATCCGCCACACCCCGCAGGGTACCCTGATAACGGAGACCGCAGCTACCTTCTGCGTCATGGGCTGGGTACCTGGAAGCCTGCTGGAGGTGGGGATCTGTGCAGGAAAAGGACCGGGAGGGGCAGACTCCTGACCCGCCCCAGTGGAAGGAGGCTGGGGGGGGGTGCCTTCAGGGCTCTGGGGAGGTAGGGAATGGATGGCCAGGTTTTAGAAGGGCTGAGCTGCGCTGGAGGCAGCGGCTGTGGGTTTGGGGGAGCAGTCTCATCCTGATCCATCTCCAGCGTCCTGCCGCTCCTGCCTGTCAGCCCAGCTCCACACCCTTGCTCACACATGGCCACTCTGTCCACCCTCGGTGGAAGCTGTCCGTGAGGAGCATCAAAGAGCAAAGCAGGGAAAGCCACTCATGCTGCTTCGGGACAGGTGCTCCACCAAGGCCAAGGTGACACAGCAAGATGGGGAGACAGCACAGTGACAGAGACAAAACCAGACAGGGTGTCCAATGTCTCGCCCAGAGACTGGGCCGGGACCATGGCAGATGCTGGTACAGGGCTCCTGCCTCACTCTGCCCATGTCCTCCCACCTCCACCCAGGCAGCTGTCTCGCCTCCAAGCCCCGAGCACCCCTATACAGAAATGCAGGCACCTCGTTTCTGGGAGCTCCCGCACTCTTCTCCCATGCCCTGCTAAGCAAGCATTAGCATCAGAGGACTGTCACTTGTCTCCCCAGTGGCTCAGTGCCTGGGCTGCAGAAGGGAGACAGCCGCCTGGTCTCTAGGAGAGCAGTCCCCACCCTTCTCTAGTGTCCGCCAGTTGCTCGCTGTGGGCGCCGGAAAGTAAGCACCATGGCAGAGTCTTTCTCAATCATGGCTGTGTCGTCAGCCCCGGGACGTGCCTGGCACACAGCACCGTTTTAAAATAAACATTTAAAAATAAATGTTTACTCGCCTGGACAGAGTGGAACGCCAGAGCTGCTGTGCTTCTGAGGAAGTGGCAGCAGAGGGGTGGACTGCTGGCCCCGGGCAGAGGGCTCGGAAGAGGATGAGGCCTGGGCACATGTTCCTCCTTTGCCTACAGTGACTCATCTCCAAGCCCTAGGCAAGGCGGGATAGGGTGGAAGAGGACAGGAGGTCAACTGCTCATTAATGTGACTAATGGGAGATTAATGCGGCTCCGTGGAGTCAGCCAAAGAACTGACTTCTCAGACCTGGCAGCTACTCCCAGGGAATGCAGCCTGCAGGATGGGAAACCGAAGCAGATCAGGCCTTCCCCTGCAACTACATCTGGACTCAGGAGCGACTGACAATTCCCTTTCCACTATTCCCCTACCCCACCCTTTCCTCAGGGACCCAGGCTCTAGGACAAGTGTCTCTAGAGGGAGGCAAGTTTGCCCCACACAGGACATTTGCAGTTTCTGGAGACATTCTGCCATACTTGGAGGCTTCCACTGCATCCAGGAGCAGAGCCAGAGATCTATAACTGCACCAAACTGTCTCTCAAACAAAGAGCCATCCAGACCAGCATGTCGCAGTGCTGAAGTTGAGTCTCTGCTGTGAGGAACGTTAACCATCTTTATGAATAAACGTCCCTTCCCTTCTCGTATCCTGCTCCAGCCCAAGGACACAGGCCTCCGGAGCAGGTCGAGGCCCAGGAGCCTTTACAGGAAGTTGCTGTTTGAGCTGTGAGGCGAGGTGTCGGGCATTCTGGCACGGAAGAACGTGCCCAGCTCCTCGCCCATGGGTCACATTCATGAAGTTGGCATGTCACCCTCGTTTAGAGACGAGGATGTGACAAGCCTCGGGTCGGAAGCGACCTGCCAAGGTCTCACACCTGAAGGTGGACAGACTGTGCCAGCGGTACCTGCGTGACAAGCCTGTGCGCTCGGGCCAAGACGCGCCGGGAGACATGGCAGATGCTGTTTTATTTAGCAAGAAAACTTTGTGCCACACTTCCAAGTGGTCTAAAGGGCCGACCACAGAGGAGTGCCCTCGCCTGTCCTGAGGGGCTCCCTGCAGAGGGAGGTGCGAGGAGGAGCCCCTTCCCAGGTCCGGAACAAGAGTCTCGTCGACGGACTGCGGACTCCGTTGCGCCGTTGGTGCAGGACTGGTGAGGCCAGAATGGTGCTGCAGACATGCATCCGCCACGAGGGAGGGACAGGTGCCAGGAAGAGTGCACCTTGGGAGAGGAGGAAGAAGGCCAAAAGGGGCAGGAGCCTTCAGTCTACCCTGGCCCAAATTTCATTGACGGGTAGCGAGCGCTTGGTGCCTCTGGTGGCAGAAAAGCTGTAAGGGGCACAGAGCACAGCCACACCCTAGACTCATCTCCTGTGGAACTGGCACGGCCTGTGAGATGGAGGATTTGGGTCTTTACCTGGGGACCACACCCTGCGGCCAGCCTCAGCCCTTCCCGGCTGCGCCCCTCAACCACCCAGCGCCGCTCAGTGTTTCCTCTTTGAGCAAAACAGAATAGCGAGTACGACTATGACCACTCACGTACCAATGTGCTCACACCACCAGTGCTCTGACATGCCAAATTCATGGGTCCTCCCCATCCGCCCTGTGAGGTGGGAGCTTTCTCGTTTCACCCAGGACTCTGCTATCATGCCGTGAAACAAGGCTGATCATCACTGTCCCGCTGGTTGCCTGTGGTGCTATTTTACAGCACCAGCACGTCCTAATGTGTTTAAGTATTACTTAGTATGGGAGGATCTGAGCACCAGAGGAGGTTAAGGACTTCCACTTCCCAGGAGGTCACACAGCTATAATGGGCAGAACACGACAAAACTCCAGTTAATGTGGGCCCTGCAGAGCTGGTCTTCACAGTCTCTGGCAGTGCCTCCCATGGCCGCTCATGCCCGGCCTCCCGCCCAGCCTCTCCTCTCAGGGCCCGCAGCTCCTCCTCCCTGCCAGTCAACGTCTCTTTCTCAGCCCACCAGGACTCAGGCTCTTCGTCATCTTCCTCCCTGAACCTGTCCTCGGAGTCCTGGGCGCCAGGTCCCAGCCCCACTGGCCTGGGGACCCGCACTCTGGCCCACACTCCGCTCCCCTTGACACCACACACGAGCCTGGCAAGCGCTGCCACCAGCAAAGAGTGAGGAGCACATGGCACAGTCTGGGACAGAGTCCTTCTCTGAGCTCTGGACCATGGTGTGCAAAGAGAGTGACTCACGTGCCGAGTAGTGGACCTCACACGTCCCACACCCCCCTGTGCTGTGACTTTCTGTCTTTTCCTCTGGACTCTGGCAATGGTGGTTGAGCCACATCTTCTCTGTGGTGCTCGCTCCTGTCCCTTGGAACAGGGTCAATGGAGCTCCTAAAGGCTTCAGCCCAAGCCCCAGTGCCCGCTTCCCCAAACCTGTGCACGTGTCTGTGGGCCTGCCTGCTCACGGACACACACACCTCTCTTTGCTGACCCCTGCAAGGGTCTCAGGGCTCTGGTGTCCACAGCCCTGGATCGTGAGGCCCCTGATGCCAGAGGTCCTGGCCTGCTTGCTCGGAGCCCAGTGCTCCCCTCCCTCCCCTGATTCGGGCTCTGAGACCAGACCTGCTGCCTGTCTACCTCCACTCCTTTCCGCTCCCAGTCTTCCTCAGGGCTCCCCAAGATCCCTCTGCCAGCAATGAAGAGGAGGAGAGCAGGAAGACAGGAGGGAAGGGCAGGGCCTCTGGAGGGACGCCTCCTGGGCGACAGAGCGGCCGCGGGAAGAAAGAGGAAAGGC